TGAGTAGTGGTGCGGGTACGTGTGAAGTTGTTTTAACAAATTATGCAGGAGATTCTTTTCTGCCCCGCTGCTTATCCTTGTCTAAGTCTATGCTGATGGTCTAAGTCATGTTGGCTTTGGCTGTGGGTGTCAAGATGGTTGATGCCAAATGGTGTCCTTGTGGGATGTGATCCGTCTGAAGAACAAGATGTGAGGTCGACTGAGTGTGCAGTCGAGTCAGAGTGTCCAGTTTGTCACCCACTTGTTACACTCTTCCTCTTGCATGATCTAGGATAGGTGTGTATGAATGCTCTTCAATTATGAAGTTCTTGAATGTTGTGGCTATGATGGTTGTATGCCTCGTAAAGAATGCATGTGGGAACTTGAATGGTTGAAACGATCGGCTACATTTTGCTTGTTACACTCCTCCTCCTGCAAGAGTCGATTTCGGTTGTGTTGTCTTAAAGTTCGAACTGACACTGTCATCAAGGGCGAACGTCGCATGCATGGAGTCGTCTCTTGCCTCACTAAGTTTTAGCACGGGTTCTTGTCCGTGCTCGAGCTTCATATTTATCTGCCATAGTAGCCTTCCTTTTTTTTTTTTTTTTTTTTTTTTAACAACACGCCCCCACCAGTGTTAGTGGTGCTGATAAGAGCAGACACCACTAACACCTGGGGGGCGGCTCCATCTATTGGTGGGAGCATCACCTGCTGGGAAACGGGCCCCGCGTCCCATATACAGCAGTATGTCAGAAAAAGAACCATTGTGGGAGCGTCCTGCCAGCATTGTTTACCCTGGCATCCAGGGGATTGACTGAGCGGCAGGTAGGGGGGGGGGGGGAACCTCTTCACCATGGAACTGGCGCCAGATACCTACTGTAACTCACTAGTTCCTTCCTCCCCCCACCCAATCTGAACTGTCACTTCCCAAGTACTGTGCTAACTGCTATCAGTCTGGACTTTTTCACCGCAGAAGACCAGGCCTGTATCAGCACCATGTTGAGTTTTCCTGGGGCTGGTAACCGTTGCCTCTATCCCTCCCATACCTCCCCCCACCATACTTTTTGAAGCCTGGGTCCTGAGCCATTGTTTTCATCCATCCCTCCTGTACCATTCTAAGTCTACTAGGCTGTTTGAGGGGGGGGCGAAGAGGTCAGGGAACTCTTGGGCGGGTTTCATTGGGATAGCTGTATCGATCTTTGTCCAGTCATTGAATAATAGCCGGTAGTCCCTTTCTAATCCTTCCCCTGTGTTCTGTCCTCCTTTCCATTCCACTCTCCCAATCCTTCCCCCTGTGTCCCCCCCCAGCCAGCTCTAGCTGAAATTCTGAATTTTTTTGTTGGATGTCACTTCTTGAGAGTGATGTCTGTATCTGGGTTTTGAGTGCTTCCCATTTTACCGTGATTTCTGTTTGAATCAGTTGCTGAATACTGTCCGTGAAGTCTGGGCCTCCTAGTCGTACCCGTTCCATCTTGTCGGTACAGCGCCGTCGCCAGAGGGCCCAAAGCATTGCCCTGCGTCCTAACTGAAACATACAAACGGTGAAGTCGTCCAGTCCCTCTTCGGTCCACGTTTCGCAGAGCAGGGCTTTCCAATCCCATGGCCATGTGGTTTGTGCTTCTAATTGGTCCCAGATTCTATCCCACCATCTCCATAACCAAATAGCACCCGGGCACTGAAGAAATATATGCTCAATGGTCTCGGGCCTTTTTCCGGGATGGAAACGCGTCAGTGCACAGTCTGCACCAGGGCAGGGCTTTCCCCATTTGCTCCAGCTGAGTTCTGTCTATGAGCCAGTCATTGGTTGGGAGGCAACGGTGCTCTATCTGTCATTGCAGCGAGGCGAATTTTGCAGGTTTGATTTTTGCCAATTTAAACCATTTCATTCTTTTCAGGTCATTTTTGCTTACATTCAAATGCCTCATCCAACGCTCCTCCACCCGATCTCGCAAGTTGAATCTCGGTCTGAGAAGCCTATAGGTCTCCTTGACTGTTAAGCCGTACAAGGATTTTGTAAATTTACTACCCCTCCTTGTAGTTTGTTGACCATGTCCATTCTGCTGGGTCGAGGGTCAGTAGGTGAACTGGGACATGCGGGAGGTAGGCGATCGATTGTTCTTTCTCTTGAAGCACCTTAATTCGGAACAGCTCTTCTTTGTGGTATACTTTTGCTTCCTCCAAGGGGAATCTTTTCTATAAAGGCCTCAAGGGTCTCCTCCAATCTGTGACAGTAGCGTAGTTTCTCTCTTAGCTGCCCCGGGTTGACCCACGCTCTATTGTCCATGTCCCATATGTCTTTAATCCTAGTTACCCCCCGCTTAACCCAACCCTGCCAAGAGGCGTCTCCGCAATGGAGGGTCTGTCCCCTCGAGTCCACCACCCATTTGTTCCCGAAGAGGGGCTGCCGGGCTACCTCTTCCCGTCTTACTGGTGGGGTTTTGTCCGGTAGGGGGAGACTCCTCCATGTGTTCATCAGGGCAGGCCAGAAAGGGTCGTTCCGCAGGTCCTCCCTTGCTGCCTGTCTAGGAGAGCCGGGGAGGAGGGTATCTTGATGTGATCTTTTTTGGGGGATGGGCCATCCTCTGTTCTCTAGCCACATCAATGGGTCACATTCTGCGGCTGTTTGTAGTGCCAGGCGGACAATCTGTTCCAGGGCCAACCCCTTCCATGTGGGCTGAAAAAAAGCCTTTTGAGCCACTGCATTGCCAATGCTTTGGTTTGGATTGAGGGGTCTATAATGCCCAGCCCTCCTCTCGATTTTGGTTGGATTATAGATTGCCATGCTACCCTGCTAATGACACCCTGATACTCGTGGTTTCCTCGCCACAGAAAGGCGGCAATCTGGCATTGCAAGGGGCGGAGGGCACTCTTATCTAAAGCCCAAATGGCTGATTTATACCACAGAGTGGCCAAAACGACATTGTTAATTATTAGCGAGCGAGCAAATAGGGACGTATGTTTGTCCTGCCATTGTGCCATTTTTTCCAAGGGGGTTTTGGAGATCCATTCGTTGTTTGCAGATGGTTTGCCGTTTGTCGACATTATAACCCCCAACAACCTGATGGGGGCTTCCTGGGGGAGCCAATTAATCTTGGGTTGCTCCGGGGGTCTCACTCCTTGGTGGTGTATCCACCATCCTTGGGTCTTGTTTCCCTAGTTTACCTTCATGTCCGATAGTCTACAAAAAAGGTCCATCATGTACCGGATCCCGGCCATCGCCTCTCTTGATGTGTCGACCATGAGGGTCAGGTCATCAGCAAAGAGAGAGCATGCCGGGATCGCACCCTGCGGTATGGAGGATACTTGGATTCTCTTGATGTCCTTATGTGTTCTCAGGTTAGCAGCTAGAGCCTCCATGACTATGACAAAGAGGTAGGGGGCTATTGGATCTCCTTGTCTGACTGACCTTTGGAGTTCGATGGGTGGGGCTAAGTTTCCATTCACCATAACTCTGGTCGTTGCATTTTCATGCAGGATCCTAACCCAACGCCTGAAACCCGGCCCAAAATTGAGTTTTTCGAGGCACTTATCCAGGAACAACCAATCCACATGGTCGTATGTTTTCTCAAAGTCGATGAAAATGATAGTCGCGTTGTGTTTAGACTGTCTTGTGAGCTTAATCATTTCATTGACCAAGAGTATGTTGTCTTGGATGTTCCTGCCTTGAATGAACCCGGTCTGGTCTGGATGTATGATCCGCGTCATGACAGGTTCCGACCGGTTCGCCAGAGCCTTTGCCATTAACTTGTAGACCACTGTAAGTAGTGCGATGGGTCTATAGTTTCTAATATTGTTTCTGTCCCCTTTTTTATAGAGGAGGGTTAGTACTCCTTGGCTCACTATTTCCCCTGTCTGGCCTGTTTTCCATACCTCGTGGTATTAGTCCATGAGGTCCTGTGCGATGCTTGACCACAAACCTTCCTAACTTTCCCACCGTCGATAAGGATGTTGTATACTGCGACGCGGTTGTCAGGAGTGCTATATTGCAGACCCAGTGAGTTCACTTCTACAACCCTCCTTACGCTTGTCATTTTGGTAGGTATGATTTGTATCAATTGATTGTTTTGATTCCGCGCAGATGGTGTTGCCTTGGTCGGCAATATATTGTGGAACCCACGATACAACTATCGATGGTGCAAAATAGGGAATTTGTGTCCGGGGCGTCGATTGGGACTGGGATGCTAGGGCGTCGTGTGCTTTCTGAAGAACATTCATGCTGCAAGTGTGCACGCAGAGGGCTGCCAAACTCTTGTTCCCATGCTGCCTCCACCGTCAGATGGATCATCGGACTAATCTGCCCGAGATGATGTTCCCGACTTGTCCCGCTTCTTAATGAATTCCAAAACGTTGCCACTGTTTCGTCAAGTTGCAGTTTGGCCCTGCCAGTTGCTTAACTGGCGTTCGGGTATTTCTTGATTATTATTTTTTTGGGTAGACCCTCCTTCCTTACTCTGTATATTCCAATTATGTCCCTATAATATCAACCTCTCCCTTTGGATTTTCCATTTGTAAATGGACCTCTCAAACTGACATGGGAAACTCTAGTTTTGTCCTGGATTTCAACCCCCTTGCCCAAAATCGTTGGTCGCACCCCTACTCTGATTTATGTAACCGGCAAGGGTACGCAACGCTGCACGGGGCGTGAGGTTCGCATATCCCAAGTGTCGCATTGGGTGAGGTTCACTGGCGGCTTTAGGGGTTATGGTGGTTGTCCTTGTAGCGGTCCCCCTGAGGCCTGGTAGCTAGGACGGACCAGTTTAAGGCCGTCGGCCTGATCCGCGTTCGGCACCATTGGTTTTCCCCGTACCTGGACCTAGGCCGGTATATCACTTCAACCTAGACCCAGGTCAAAGGCTCTTTGGCCACTTGGTGGGTTCATTCTTTCATTGAGTCGGACATTCTCACGTTCAGCTGCTGCTTCTCGTGTGTCCATCTCCTCACTCTCTCTCTCTCTCTCACCATCTCCACACATGCACCCCCCTACACGTGCATCACATTGGTATCGAAGCAGAGTCTCAAACCTTTGCTCCCTCCCTCCCTCCCTCCCTCCCTCTCCCACTGACCCACCATCCCAAATAGCTATCTCCAAGCTTGTGTCTGCAGCTGCACTTGGCCCATCGATGCTACCAGATACATTCGTCATCCAAGCTGGAGCCTTTCTCCTCGGTAATCTCAACGTCGGCGCCACTTCAGTTGTTGTTGCTCTCCCACAGGCTGCCAACACCGACGCTCGTCCAACACCCATCATTCCTGTGGATTGCATCGCCGAAGTGCCTGCAGTGTGGTGATCTCGGCAATCTGCCGCTGATAGTGCTGTGAGAAGTTCATCAAACCTTGACATTTCGAGGAAGGAGAAGCCGTAACAAGTTCCCCTAGGTGAACCTGCCGAAGGATCACTAACACGTGGACGACCGACCTTCCTGCTCCTGAAAACCGACCCTCCGCCACGTCAGCACATCATTCCCCCTTTTCCTTTCCTCCCTCCAGACTTCTCTCTTCCCGCCCCCCTCGACTGTCTCTTCCCCCCCCCCTTTTCGTTGCTCCCCGGCCCCCTAGCCGATCCCGCCTCTCCCTCCCTGATTTCCCCCCTTTTTCCTTGATCTCGATCCTTGCCCGATCGAGATCTCCCATCTCCCCCCCTTCACCTTCCGCTCACGCCCGATCCCGATCCTCGCTCTCCCCATCCCGATTCCGACTCCCCTTCCCCTCCCCCCCAATTCCACCCCGACTCCCCGATCCCGGTCCCGCTTCCGCTCCCTACACACACAATTCCCCCGCGCACCCGACCCCACACTTTTCCCCACCCTCTCCCCGACTCCCCCCGATCCTGTCTCTTATACACATCTAGATGTGTATAAGAG